ACCAAGGACCATTATAGGACTATTCACATTTCGATACTGACCGTAGGCTTTGCCCCTTTGGCTTTAAAAGTTCTGAGGTGAACATTTTAAAAGTAAATATTGATTGGTCTCCATGGCTGCGATGAGAACACTAAAAATGTTTGTTTATATTTGCTTTGACATTTAAATGTAAACAAGAAGAACTGCTAAACTGCATATTTCACAATTTCAGACAGCTGATACAAAGAAAGTAAAAATAATATTTTCCATAACTATGAGGTAGGTTTATTTGAATCTAACCTTTTATCATGGATTATTGATTCTAAAACTATGTCAATGATTATAGAAAAAAAAGATTCTATAACCGTTGCTGTATCAACTCCGGCTCTAATTTGGATTTTTTAAAGCGTCTAAGCTATGAAAATAATGTTATTGATATGTTTTCATGGAAACAGTATGAAAATTACAATGTATAGATGTTTTGTATGAATTTGCTTAAATTAAACTAAAGAATATCATCAATAACTAAATTGTACGTCGTTGATTATTGTTTTCTAAAATCTGTTGTATATGTGTAACTATATTTAATTAAATTATCAAATGGTAATACAAAATACTCTTATTTTATTTTAACATAGCTCTCAGTTCACATTTAATTTATGTAATACATTTATTATTTGTGTTTTGCCACACCATTGAATAAATTAAACCAAGGAAAATTTCATAAAACTAAGCAGTACACAGTGTTCTTTTGTTTCTAAAATCAATGAAATCTCTGTTACTATGTTTAATTAATGGTAAGTGTGAAAATGTAAAGGCAATGGACGATGGAACTGATTAAAAGAACTGGTTTGTATATTAAGTTGTTTGTTGATATTTTTGTAGAGTAGAATCAGCAGAGATGCAATGAAGCATATATACTGTATGTGCTATTAAATTGTTTAGTCCTTGATGCTTTGATAATTATATTAGTTTTGTCTGCTGTCTTTAATGCTAAATTATTTGTTTAAATTTTTTTATAGTACCTATAGATATAGTTCTTTAATATTTCAAAAGACTGCATTGATAAGGCAAACCAATATTTCTAAAGTTTATAACAGCTGACTTAGTTTTGCTAACGATTTATTGTGAGTAATAAAACTGAAGATGGAAGGATTTGTGAAAAAATTTCATTTAAATTTAATAATTAGTGCCTTTTCAACATCAAAATTGAAATTGAAAATGTCAATAATAAATTAAAAGATATGTAATCAAGGGAGATGAAGGTAAATCATGTATGTCAAAGTTTTATTCGAAGATTTGGTCAGTTTTTCTCATATCAGCCTACACAAGATTTAAAATTAATCAAAACCAAAATGGTGGTATCCACTAATTACCAGATTTCAAAGTCATAACTAAAACTTTTCTATTAACCCTCCGAGTGTCACGCGTCGAGTTTAAGACGCACAACACACTTTGTGTAGGGTCACGCGTCGAGTTTAAGACGCACAAACATCGTTTACGGCGAAGGCTCTATGACTGACTGAATCGGATTGAACTGGATCGAGTTAGGTATCGTTCTTTCCGTAATATTCTAAGCTTTCTCCAGAGGTCTGTCTCTAAGCGCTATTCATTTTAGTTCCGAAAATATTGTAGCAGACAGCTGACGTGCGTGTATTTGTAAACAGCTAGGTTCCCCCGGACCGATGACTGATGTGTTTTATTACGTTTATCATTGTTTTAGTGTTAAAAATCAAAAGTAGTGATATACGTGGTGCATTATAAGAAGATTTAAGTGGTTTTGAAGTGCTGGTTGATGATCCTGAAGAAGTAGGTAGTGATATTGATGTAAATTATCAGCCAGATTCCTAGCTATGGTTAGGCTATGCATTCTTAGCTAAACGCTATGTACTGAAATCCGTTTTTCGCTCATAACTTATTTATTTGATAACTTACCTCGCTATATGATTATATATTTGTAATCCTCATAAAATTTAGAACAAAGTGGCTATTTTCAAATATTTATAGGCCTATAATTTATACAATTTCATTGAGCGCGAACTTATTTTTTTTTTTTTTAATTTTCGAAATTATATTTTTTTTTTACCTAAAAATTTTTTTTTGAAAAAATGTTCTTTATGTTTTATATATAGTATTGAAGCCCATGATTTTCCAAACAAAATGGTATATAGAACATTAGAATTAACATTGTTTTAAGCTTCTCAGATCCGTTTTAATAAAACCTTGCAAAGGGGCCAAAAATAGGTGGACATTAAGGCCTAAACTATGGACACTCGGAGGGTTAAGGCCATAAGAGTTGAATTTTGTTTCTAAAAGCGTTGGCGGATGTGTAACTATTATATGCAACATATGTAAAGATTAAAATGTTTCTATTTTGTGTCCTCTTCCCGTTGCAAAGCACGGGTACAACAGCTAGTAGTAATATATTTATGTCACAATTTAATGTAATTCATATTCTATGTATTTGTTATTATATAGTTATTTTACTTGATGTTTGCGACTAGGTCCCTGCACTCAAGCTTTGCTTCGCAGGGACTTAATTTCAGATTATTTATTGTAAAAAGTTAAAAGTTAGGCCTATATGTAATGTTATTTTTTTTTTTTTTTTTTTTTGAATAAATGAATAATTGAATAATAATAAATGAAATAAATTAAATCATTTAATAATAAATGAATTTAATCGTGGCCTCATCTGAAATCATCTTGCAATGGCAGCAAAATTTGTGATGATTTCCCACGATCGCAGCAACATCAGTAATGATATCCAGTTATTGCGGCAACATCCGTGATGTGATTTCCCGCAATCGCGATTTTTAACTACACAAAACCAGACAAAATCAGCGAAACATTTAAATTTCCCGGTTTTTACAAAATCCACACACAATTTATGGATTTTTTTCCGGTCAACACATTCACGCACAATTCGCAATTTTCCCAGTTTCCAGGACGGCTGGACACCCTGATTTAGTTTGACAAATAATTTGACTAAAAACTTATGGGACCAGACATCCTGTAGCCTCTATATATACAAATATGTAAAATTAAATGCAGAAAAACAAGTCAATGTTTTTAAACTGAAAGTCAACGTTTTTGAGACTGCATGGTCTTTTTCTCGGAAGGAAGGGCAGTAGGATGTAAACCAACCTTAGGCTTACACCTCCCGTTTGCAATACAATTCTCATATTGCAGACAAAATTGTGTAACAAAACAAGAAAGTAGGGTTAAAAAAAGATTTTCTGCGTTCAAAAATAGAAAAATGTTGCAGATTATTTTCATGGAAATTAATTCACAGTAGCTTGTGTCTTGTTAAGTAGTAAGGTATGTTTAATCTATGCTAAAGACTTTAAAGTGCAGTTCTAACCTCATAGCTTGCTAGTTGCTACTCAGTCAACACTTTCAGACTTATTTCTTCATTCTACTGTACTTTGACTTTGCATTACAAAAAGTAGATCCTAATATTAACTAAGCTAAGAGAATGTATTTTAAAATTATCCAAATAGATATCTGTCTGATAAACTAATCCAAACTACAATTCTGATCAATATAGGCTATTGTTAATTAATCAAATAAGAATGGTTGACAGTATTATGTTTCCATGCCGGTAGGTTGCAGTAAGCCTATCGTATTGGAGCATTGTAAACTAGGCAGCTGAGCGGAGGTGTAGACTTCAGAGTTAAGGAAGATGTCATAATATTCTGACGTTGCCGTTGTGATTTTTGTAATACCAAGCATGAAATGCTGGGTAGAAATAAAACAACACAATACCATGATTTATTAGGTTGAAATTAGAGATTATTTCTAGGTTTTTTTACTAATCGAATGTTTGAATATACTCTATTAAGATCGAGTCAGGCTCGAATACTAAAGTATTTGTTCAACTATTCGTACTTTCGAATATTCGCACACCTCTAGTAAAAAATGAGAGCCGTTAAAAGATTCAAAATGGCAGATTCAAGATATCTTTGAACGGCTGCCATTTTCGACTCGGTTATCCGTTTGGGTTCAAATTTGTGGCATTGTATTCTAATATTTAAGAGCTTTAAAATGAGGGGCCACAACATTGGTCTTAATATTTGAAAACTTTTAGTTTCCCCCCTATCTACCCAAAGGGGGAGGGAGGCAAACTTTTGATTTCTTCCAAAAAGCTAGAAAAGTCATCATACAATGATATGTTGAAGTTGCAAAATTTTATTTTACGCCGTTTAATTTATTTTTGAGTGTGTTAAGCCTTGCAAGCATGCAAGCTAGTCACACCTTTAAAAAATGCTTGCTCAATAAAAAAACCGTAAAAAATCCGAGAAATTTTACAAATTTTATAGTGGTAGCAAAACAGGAGTGCCGATGGAGACCAGGTCAAGTCCCTTTAAACGCACGCACCCCCACAGGTCTCCATCGGCACTCCCGTTTTGCTACCACTATAGAAGTAGGGCGATTTTCGAAGGTGAAGGAGTGCGATTTTCGGAAAACGCTAAAGAGTATTTTGTAGAAAATGTAATTCCTGACCATGAAAATTCTTTCAAATGTTTGCTAGCTCTTACCGTTTTCGAGCTACAGCCATTAAAAAAATGTATATTGGTTAAAAAAAAGGGGGAGGTTTAAATTTTGAACTGCCATAAATTTTCATAGGATTGACGTAGAGATCTCTAGTTTGCGCCATTCTTTTTCTTTTTTCATGCCCTCACATTTGATATGTCAAAAGGGGTACCTTGAAATAGTTAGGGGTAGGGGGACCCCGAGAAAGGGAGTGAATGGGAACTTCACATTAAATTCACAACAATTGTGGCCCCCTTGTCAATAAAAAATTCCCGCAAACTGCATATTTCTATCTATTGCAGCTTTTACATAAATAAAGAAGCAATTAAAAAAAAACACCCTGTATAGAGTTAGAAAGTAAAAATCAAATTCTAATCTAAATTTCTCTCAGGATTTAACTTGTGGTTTAAATGTATAAAGTTAGGGCTACTTTTAGTCAGCCATGTTTGAATTGTTAAAGAGTTGGATCCAAGCACAAGATTTTTTACCTGGCAGTCATTCCAACGTGCACAAAGCTACTTTCATTTCTCTGTCGCTCAGCTGGTGGAAGAGAGTTCCATTCACCTGCCTCTCTGAAAAAATTAGTTCAGAACGCTCTGTAGGTTACAATTTGTAAACACAATATACACACAATCAATAAAAAATGTATCTTCGTAAATATAATTTGTATACTTCATATTTTGAGTTGTTTTGTCTCTGGATCACAGTACAAACTATAAAAGGTATAAAATTACCTGAGTACTGCCAGAGTGATCCTGTTACTGTAGTCCTTACGGATAACACGTTTCGAAGACTAAGTCCTCATCATAGTCTTCAAAACGTGTTATCCGTAAGGACTACAGTAACAGGATCACTCTGGCAGTACTCAGGTAATTTTATACCTTTTATAATATGTATTTTGACAATGTTTGGGAAATTTACTTGTTTTAGTGTATCTATTGAAAGTTTAATTCTATACTTTCCAAACAAACAAGTATTAGCTAATTTTCTTTAGTTAAGCAAACTCACACATAATTTTCTTGAAAATCAGGGTGGCCACTGAACTCCTGGGGGAAAAACTCACAAATTTCCGCCAGCTTTCTAGGTCTTGATTCCTTTTTTGCTTAGAGGGGTCTGCAGGTCCAAAAAAATTTTGGGTAAGGTTGGATCAACAACAATTTATTGGCTTGAGGGGTCATTTTAGACAGAAAAAGATTGTGCATATATTTTCGCCATTGCGGAAAGCATTTGCGAAGATGTGAGATGAAAAATTAGCAATTTGGTTGTGATGGCTGGTGATATTCATGTTTTTCCGCAACCGTGGGAGACCATGACGTCGCCGTAACCCCGGAAGATTCACCAAGTTTTCTATGACCTTAGAAGATGTTCACGTCATGTTCACAATGTTTTAACGGAGTTGGGGCTAACGGAATTTTATGTGCGTTTACGTAGTCAAATAAAGTACTTTGCTGGGTTTAACCCTCCTAAATTCGTCTTAAATCCGTATTACAACCAAAAGGCCGTATTACACAGGCAGGGTCGCAGCTATACATTTTTCTAGGGGGGCAAGTCCTAAATTTCTCCCCGCAAGTGCCAACAATGGCGTTTTACAGCCAGTCTTAACAAGAAGCACAAACTTTTTAAAGAAAATTGCCCGAATGTTTAGTGATAAGTTCATATCTTGTAATTAAAAATGTAATAATTTTTAAAATTGGTATATTATTATGGAAACATTAAACTTGTAAGTACAATTTTTAAGAGAACTAATCAAAATTTTTTTAAATATGTGTTTATTAAAATGCAGTGAACATACAGCTCTCCATCCATAAGGTCACGTCAATTAGTTTAAATAACTTCTTGATCAGCATTGTACGTGTTATTAAATTTACGGAAAGTAAATGAAAGAAATGTCTTATAACATTTAAAACATATATTTACGCTTATACTGTTACTCACAGGACGGTAAATATACAAAAAATTGATGATTCGCCTATTAGGTCTGATGATTGGAGTGTCCAATCAAAATCGATCACCACTTACCATCTTTTTTGTATATTTACTGTCTTGTGAGTAACAGTATAAGCGTAAATATATGTTTTTTTATTTATATATGTTTAATTGAGTTAATACTTGCTAATAATTGTCTTTAATTGGATGTTCTGTCTATTGATCAATGGTGGATCGAGCCAGAGTGTGCGAAAGGCGCCCCTCCCTAGTCAAAAGAATTGACTGCGATCGCAGCAAAATTGTGAACATTTCCTTCCATCACAGGATCATGATTAACGTCACCCGCAATTGCGGGAAACCCTCAACGTCTCTCGCCATCACAAGGACATTGTTATCAACACCTGCGATTGCGGCAAAATTGTGAACATCACGGGAACATCATTATCGTCATCTGCGAATGCAGGAAAATCATAAACTTCTCACATTATCAAAGGGACATCGTTATTGTTACTTGCGAGCATGATGAATCATTCATTTTAGAAAACAATTTGTTGTTTAAAAATAGTCCTTTTTCTACAAAACGCTGCGACCCTCTTCGCCCTTTTGGGTGGCGACTCCACTCTAGACACGCCTGTAAATACAAGAAACAACTTTGACCTTGAGCAGTCATGTCCGCCACTCCCCCCCCCCCTGCACCTATCACCACGTTCACACAGTATAAATTTATTTTCTTCAGAGCTCTTTTAGCGAATTTCCCATATAGGGAATAAGCTATTACCGTAATACTCATGGTAAGACCTGGACGCGGGACCGATTTTTTTTTTTCGTTTTGAGGTCTCTAGAGGCGAAAAACACCATCCGTTCAAATTCATATATATATATATATATATATTTATATGTTTATATATTTATATATTTATATATATATATATGTCCGTTAGCACGATAACTCTAGCAAAAATGATCCGATTTTGATGAAATTTGGTACAAACGTGTAAACCTACGTTTATTCGAACGAGTTCGCGATCCAGCATGATCGGACCATGGGAATGGGGGTTTACGGGGGGTTTTATGGGGTAAAAATAGGGTTTTCTCATTTTTGACCCAAAAAACATAAAATTTAGCAATTTCTTTCCAAACCATTTTGTAGAGCTTAAAAAAACAAATAATTTAGTATATTGAAGCGTTATTATGCGCCTAATGGTTACGGAGAAAATTCCAAAAAATTGTAAATTTAAAATTCCCATGTTATTCTTATGAAGAATAAGTAAACTGTTGTAGTTTGCTTGTTTATGAACATATTTTGATCAAATTTGGAAAATGTCTTTATTTCTTACTAACTATTAAAATTTTACAAAAAAAAAACAGTTTTACCCTCCCTGATGCAGCAAACCTAAGTTCTTGTTAAACTAATTCTATTTAAATAGGGAATAAGTGTTATATTTTTAAGTAGACATTTCAGTGTAAATCCAATCAGTCAAATGGAAATTCGCTTAGTCTGCAGGTTTGCTGCGGCGGGGGTATTTATCATATTGGCTAGACCACTTTTATATGCAAAAGCAAACTGATTTGTATAGTAAAGTTGAAACAAATTATATAGCAGCCTCAATTTTGCCGCCCTCCCAAAAGTTACCGCCCGAGACAAACAACCCCCATGCCCCCCTCCCCACCCATAGCTGCGGCCCTGAACACAGGTTTTTCTGATGAAATTTCAGGACCCACGAATAATTCCTGGTTTTTCTACCAGTCTGTGGAAATTCTGAAAATAAGGCATCCATTGTGTTATATAACGATGGGCCTACCTTGCCGCTATCATTGTTCTCAGTTGAGCCATGTTACTGAGGGCTTCGTCCAGGAGAAACACAGCGTCATTCATCAGCAAGTTGAGGAACCTGAGAAACAGCGGAGGGTTCACTGCTTCCATGTTGGCCTCCGCTTCAGCAGCAAGTTTCCTGCAAGTAAATTGTGTCATTAAATGGATTCAAAAACCTAGCAAAGCTTAAAACCTCTTGGAAATATGATTTTTTTAATTAAATTTTTGTATTGTTTTGTAATAACTTCCAGATAATTTTCTATGGCTTCTTAAACACTGAAGGGATATTTTCTACGGTTAACTACTGGCATGATAATACTCTACAGAATTGTATGTGATAGCTTATTGGAATAATAAGACTTCATAGTTCATTTGAGGTCATATTGCAAGATAGGGGACTGCACTTTTTTATGTGACTGGCTTCAAATTTGAAGGAAACCTTACATTCTGTAAACTTCCAAGATTTGATTTTGTTTGGAATTGATCTTTATATTTATTTAATAACACTACATATAAATTTATCTTATTGCTTTTTTCATCAGCCATAAAAATTATCAAGATGGAATACTAATGGATCCAGATTACCTTTTTTAAATTTAACTAGGATTACAACTTATTGTTATTCTTCTAGTACTTTTACAAGGTTTTACCAGAACTGTTAATATACTCACTTAAAACACTCTTTCTGCTCGTCTAAACTCCATAAGTACTCCATGACCGTGTACATTGGCCGACGGTAGTTGAACTTTTGCTCAAACGACACACTCTGGCCTGTCATTTCAATACTGACAAACACATCTAACAAGGATTCCACCATCTGTAAAAATATTACACAAACAAGTTACACAATTTCAAACACTGGGTGGACCAAGCGACCAACTATTGAAAATAGATGTAAATGGTTGTGATGTTGAAGAGACTAAAAATAAAACCAAAACACTACTAGTTATGGAGCAATGTAGCATTTGCATTGCCTTCATACATACAATTGCTGTGAGCTGTAATGGTGACGCAGTGCTCCTAGTAACAGTCAGGGCCGGTTCTAGGAATTTTTCAGAGTTAAGCGAACACCCGAATCAGCGCCACCTAGAATTTCCCCACCACCCCACCAACCATGAACATAACTTAACCCTATTTTTGAATTTTTTTTTGGAAGAACTTTTTTATAAGTTTAGTAGGTTAGAAGAATACTTGCAATAAAAGACTTTTTTAACTACTATTTATTATTCACAGAAATTTAACATTTTTACACTTTTACTCATCATATACACTTTAGCAAAACCCAAAGTTAAAAATTTATTCCTAAATGTGAAAATATTTATTACAGGATAGCTTGGATACGATACAAGTTTTTATAAAGCATATTACAAAGAAAAACAGGTGTAGGTAGATAACAAGAGAGGAATTTTTTATTGAATACATTAAACATGTAGAAAACATGAAAAAACAAGTTGAAGTATTAACACCTTGCCAAAAGAATACAGAAGAATGCAATAACGTACTGCTCTGCTCTATGGAGGAGAGTGAACAGGGGAAGAAAGCAGTGGCGGCGATAAGAACCCGCGGGCCCCCCCGCAAGTTTGTTCGCCAGGCCCCCCTCTCCCAATGATCTTTAAAAACATTTTCCCATGTATTACCGCCTAAACTTGCAATTTTGCAATAAACTTGACAAGGCATCTCCCGAGGCGTCATTATCGTCTTCCATGATCGCGGCAAAATCGTAAATACTTCCCGTAGTCATAAGTCATGGAAGAAACATTATCATAGTTTACCGTGATTGCAAATGCAACCAAACCTATGACATCATTAGATAGCAGCATCATCGTCTCCCGCGTTCACGGCCCAATCTAATATCACGGCCTAATATCTTCCCGCGACCGGGGGTGGTGACGGGTAAATCATTTTTCCGTAATCGCGGCTAAATCCTAGATATATCTCTCGCTAAAAAAGAAACGTCATTATCGTCTTCCGCAATCGCGGTAAAATATTGAACATCTGCGGCCGCGGAGACATTGTCATCGTCACCCGCGGGGAAATGTTCTCGTCGATATCCGCTATCGCGGCAAAAGCTTAAGCCTAATCTTTCAATTTCGTGAGCGTGATCCTCACGGATATAAAAGCTTTTACTTTTAATTGTGCATTATTGTATTGAATAGAAAATCGGCTCGAGCTTGATTTTCTGACTTTGTGCTTGATCTCTCAAGCTTGTAGTCCAGGCTCTGCTCGGCTCGAAAATCGACATTATAGGTCTATTATAAAAATCAACCGTTTCCAAAACAACCCGATTTTGAACCGATCTGATTTGGCCTGAGGCCCTTAGTAAAATTTTTAGTGCGTTCAAGATCGGGTTGCTTTGGAAACGGTTGATTTTTATAATAGGCCTATAATGTCGATTTAATGCCGATTTTCTCAGTATTCAATACAATAATGGACAATTAAAAGTAAAAGCTTTTATATCCGTGAGGATCACGCTCACGAAGTTGAAAGATTAGGCCTACGCTTTTGCCGCGATCGCAGATATCGACGAGAACATTTCCCCGCGGGTGAAGAAGACAGAGGCCAAATTGGTTATGAATACGGCCCTATTATTATGCAACCAATTTTGACTGCAAAGTCACACAATCCACGAGGACAGTTAATGCAACCCGCATGACTGATGACAATTCTTTTACTTAGGTTGGTAGATAATTTATATCGATCGGTCAAGTAATAGTGTTAGTTTAGTTGTTGTAAACTATTTGAACAAATTTTCATCATGAAAAACGTAGCCTATTTTAATTCTCATATAAATATTGTTATGATAGGGGACCCGTGTGGCTGAGCCTGTCACACTATCGCGGGCCTGTGTGCCGGTAAAATTTACCGAAAATCCTGGTCAAGGCTCACGGGCCCCCCTAGCTCGCGGGCCCCCCCGGCCCGCTATCGCCGCCACTGGAAGAAGGGTAGGGGAAGTTTCTGTTGTGATAAGTGGCGCTGCGCGCTTATCTCAACCATGAGTCATAAAATGAAACCCACAGGCGCCACGCTGTACGCTGCCGAGCGACAGCTCCCTACTGTAGTGCAAGTATACGCATTTTTCAAGTGCTATTGGTACAAACAGAATAAATGCCTTTGGTGTGGTGGTTTGGATACTTGAACTCTGAGCAAAATTAAGTTGTTTTCTTGTCAGTAAAGTTGTTTCCAATTTTTTCCTCTGAAAAAAAAAAGTTGTCCCGTTGGCGCCACTTTTTTGTGGCGCCATATGCGACCGCGTATTTTGCGTATGGGTTAAACCGGCCCTGGTAACAGTAGAGGAGCACCAATTGACTTGCATTTTAAGTCGGTAGTTCTTGTCTGCTTCATTTCTGTTCGTTCTAGATGATTCAAATTGTGAAGCAAAAGCAAGCAAACAGCCAACGAGATTTCAGTATTAGATCATACTTACCTCAACTGCTCTCTTTTCATGTGTTTAATGTTTTGATAACTAGTGTATTTAAATAACTGCCTTCGTAATGCAGTAGGCCTATCGCATGTCAAGATTCAAGATTTTTTATTTCCAACATATTTTTTACAGAACAATGTTACAATTAAAAAATATTACAAAGTATTTTAAAATGAACATATAAATACATTTTTTTAAACTAAAATTAATTTAAATCATTAACTATTACAAAACAAAAATACAATTCAAACAAATAAAAATAAAATGTTGTTAGGTATCTCATGAAATGTATTGTGTTGAGATACCATCTCGCTCAGAAACAGTAGTGCTGCAACTCCCTAATTAACATAATATGACAATATTGATAATTGAGATAAAACTATTGATACAAAGTTGATGAAAATATATTTGAGTGCTTTATAATACTCACTAAATATTTAAATATAAAAAAAACAGCAAACAAGGGTAATTAACTACATTTTAATCTTGAGACAATTACAAAAACTCCACATCCTCAAGTGAAAAGAGCCATATTCTCAAATTAGTTAATAATTTACACCCTTACAGAGGGTTACTTTGAGTGGCAACAGATTATGAAATAAAAAAAAAAGTAAAAAACTTTGATAATCTTTGTTATTGGCTTTTAATAGTACAACTAGATTATGCAACCTAAGTCTATCGGAGTAAATATTATTATTGCCACATGTATGACCACCTCTTAAAAAAATATCCCTAGAACCCTAAAATATACGTATACAAATATCTTAAAAGTAAAATTGTATATTAATTTGCTTAAAATATAAAAATGTGTGGTCAGTCCTTCTAAGTCCTAACCTAAGTACCTTATTTTGACAACTTTCTTCTGAGGTTCTAATAATAAGAATTAATATTTGAAAAATAGCTTCCACCTGAAAAACTAATACCGTACTGTAGTTTACTATGCACAATTGAAAAATAAATGATTCTCATGACTTTAACTGGACACATATTTCTTAAGTAATAGAAAGTTTGTAGAGCTGATATCATGTATTTATTTAGATGTTTAATATGTTCACACCAGCTGCAGTTTTAATCTACACAAATACCCAAATACTTGATATTATCAACGCGTTCTATATACATACATCCATCACAAGGTAGAGCATTGACAGACATTAAGCAGGAAACACATTCATAAGAAATGGGATCAACGTTTAAATTTTGGTCCATTAGCGAAAATATTATGCATTTTTTTTTTAATACTAAGTGTTAATTTGTTGTAAGCAAACCAAATCTTTATCAAATCCAAATCATACCGCATATCAAGCTCCAAAAAAATTTTTAAAATGTGAATTATAACATAGTGCTGTGTCATCAGCAAAACTAGTAAGTGAACCCTTAAATGGACCGCAACAAAGAAGAGAATTGGACCCAAAACAGCCCCTTGTGGAAGGCCACAAACTATTGGCATATAAGAACTATATACATTGTTAACTTTAACACACTGGACTCTATTTTTAAGTAACTACTAAACCAATGCAAAATAGATCCTCTGAAGCAAGCAACCCAAATAATATTTAGTAATAACTCATGATTAACTGCATCAAATGCTTTTGTTATGTCAACAGATAGACTGCCGACATTTTATTTAGTATTTATTTAATCCTTCGTAAACACTTTTAAAAAAATATAAGAGGGCAAATTCAGTGGAAGGTTTTCTAAAAAGCTAAATAGTTTTTTTTTTATAAAAAGGTATTAGCGTTTTGAAAAACATCTAATATTTTTTTTTATATAATAAAAAGAGATATTAGTCTGAAATTATTTAAATCCTTTGTATCCCCTTTTTTAAAGAGGGGATATGTTTACAACAACATATATAGATGAGTGAATGAATCTATGTATCGTGTATAGCGGAGTCGGAGATTGGTTGTCTGCTTGTCTGTGCTTCTGTGTGTTCGGGTAAAAAACTCAAGAACCGTTGCACTAATAGCATTCAACTTTTGCACAAAGAATTATGACACCACTGGGAAGATACCATTAAAATTCTAGATGATTACGCTCAGTAGTAATTATAAGAATAACATTCTTAGAAATTACCTTCTACTTCTTTTTATTTGTTTACATTTTGCTAACAACAATTTTGATGTCTACTATAGACAAAGAGAACGACTTTTTCTCTAAATATTTTCATTCATGAAGTTAACAGTTTGAGGTCCATGAATATATGACATTATAATTATACAAGTTCCAAAATAATAAATTGAGCTTTACAATTAGTCAGCAGTTATATCATAGATTAAGCGTACTCCCTTATCTGTTTAGATATCTTTTCTTGATAATGGCTATCTTCCTGGGGAGTGTTGCTGAAGGTCTAAATCCCGGAAGGTCTAAAAATGCAAGTCCCGAAAGGTCTAAAA